TAACCTAACCTAAACTAACCTAACCTAACTCAACCTAACCTAACCTAATCTAACCTTGCCAATTTCAATTAGATTTTTATCTAAATATATTAAACATTAATTAACCATCTAATGTCCGGTGGTAACTATAAGATCCACTTGCCTCTGAAATAGATAACAACTGATTTTTTATTTATGGCTTTCGTATAAATCTCACTGTAAATAGAGATTATTTCCTTAAAACAGTATTGGCAAGTTTAAGTCTGTACTGTACTTGTGTTTTCTATGGCGGTACGGACTGAATTCTTTAATAAGACGAGCTTCGGTTTTAAATGCTTAAATATTCTCATTACGCAAACAAAACATTTAATAAATTTAACAGAAGATTTAAGCAACTTATTTACACTTTTACATCAAAAGTCGTTAATTCTTTTGCGCTTATTTGGGAAACCGAACGGAGATCTATTTTAGATGAGAGAATAAATTAATGATTTACTGTTGCAAGATGGACATAAAGTCGGCCACGGTCCCAAGTCTTCTTATCACCGTAATGAGGGGCTCCTACCAATATGTCATCGAGTCCATCCCCGTTCACATCCACAGTGCACACTGCAGCACCAAAATACTCGCCAACTTGCTTTCCTTTAAGCTTACCAATGACCTCTAATCGATACTCATCATTTTTATTGTCAGTGACGTGGTAATCAAAAATGTATACCTGTAACAGCAAATTCATGCATTTAAGAACACGATACATAGCTTTCCATTGATATTAATTAAGTAATATACCTGTATACTCCTAATACGAGGGTTACTTCAAAAGTCATGGCAACTAATTGTTTGGGAGCAAACACGTTATATTGAAGAAAGCTCAAAATATACATATGAAAGGACACGATATACTCCTCCGATTGGCGTAGTCAGATCAGGTAGCTTTTTTTCTGTCTGACGACAGGTCCATATGAACACGATCCTTCCATCCTTTTCTCGGACTGGGACCTGTTCATATACGTTCTTGGCAGATGATCCAGAAGTGGTTTGCCATTGCCTTCTTCTGTGTGTGAATGGAGAAACCGGGGAAGCCCCCGGAGGAAAACTCCGTGTTGCCTAGACCAAGGCCTTGCCCAACACAAGTTATAAATCCGCCCTTTTATGTAATGGACACAAACTTTTTTGGGGTGAGGGCAATCAAGTAGGTATAGAATGCAAGAAAAACGTTTATTCCGTAATGTGCTTTTTTATTTATAAATTTTATAAAAAACACTGAATAATCAGTAATGTAATTAATTTAATTTATTTTAGATTTAGATTATATACTATGTATAACTTGAATTATACACCAACAAATTTGGGGGTACAAAGTTGAAGAGAAATTATATCTGGGGGTACGAGAGCAAAAAAGGTTGAATACTCCTAATACTGCTTATGTTACAGGCTAAAGTTTTTCAGAAATTTGTTATTATTTTGACAAAGGATCCATGACGAAACAATTACTTAGTCATACTTTGACAACAATGAAATAAAAGAGTTGTGTCTAATTGTAAATTTCTTGGACTCTGATGGTACTGTACCTTTCCTTGATATTCGTTGCCTGCCCTCGGTGCCCCAGTAACGTAGTACGTCTTGTTCTTCCCATTGAAGAACTTCCCTGACGAGACTGAGTAACCTGAAGGTAACAAACATAATTTGCCAATCCTGAGGTAATCGCAGCTTTGTAACTCGAGAAAAGACTTCAATTTTGAAAAAAAAAACAATATAATACAAAGGCAGAAATTTTTATTACTGCTAACTTATACCTCTCGAAGATCCAGTTACAGTTTCTCTTTTCAGATTGTATGTCTTAAGCGGTAATTCAGTTTTATGTAAACAACTACTGAAGCCATAAACCATTCGGATAAATTTTAAAAAGATATTAATAAATAACACTGTGATAGATGAACTCAAAGATTACGCACCGGTAATACGGAAATCTGCCCTCCGACCATCCTCACAAACTGTCCTACTGACACATATAGTAAGGACCAGAGCACTTGCGTGTCCTTGGCGCGGGGGTGAGGAGCAAGGTGATAAGAACTGCGCGCGCACCTCCACGCTTTTACTGTCCGCTCTACCCGGCCATTCCCTTGCAATGACCAGGCCGTGCCGAATGCAACTGTCTACAACACAAGGGAGCTCAGCTAGCAAGTAATCTGGTCCCTACTGCATAAGAAATGTAATTACATTTATTTTTAAGCTAAAACGGAGAAGACAAGAAGTCACAAGGAAAACATAAAAAGAGAAGGAATACAAGTTTCGCTTCTAACATTGTGACTCAGCTGCCGCGTATAGTAAGGACCAGAGCACTTGCGTGTTCTTGGCGATAATCTGGTCCCTACCGCATAATATTCCAAATTTCATATCCCGACGTGGTCCACATCACCTCAAATGTCCCATCTTACTCCTAAACCTTGTGACAGCTTTGTAACACTCTACCTCCTAACTGGAGGCCTACCATTTGTCTGTCGTCCACTACTATTTATTCAGTACTAGTACAACGCCCGTTGATGTTCAATGGGGAAGAATTCCTTTCATGTTCTCATTCCTTTACTCTATATTTTCTTCAAGAGCTGCTGTTAAGTAACAAATAAGAAAAATAAGCCGTTCTAAGCAACAATGTAAGAAACTTATTTATATAACGCGAAAACTCACAGCTACATTACGTATCTGATGCTCATTTCTTAAACTGTAACCTGGGTGGCATCCTGTGGTTATAAAGGGGCCACTTAACGTAGATGAAAGACACAGTAGAATTTCAAATGTTTTAAATTGAATTTATTCTGTTTTAGGCTGGCAGTAACTATAGTAACTCATGATCCGTGACATATTTGAGAAATAACTTATGATATATCGCAACCAAAGTGAATTGTTATGTGGCGAAAAGCTAAATTAGCGACCCCAGGATTTTATTTATTAACCAGACACTAACATTAGAGTTCTCTACTGGTCTTAGTAGGGTGTGAACGTTGATTTAATCCTGGTTGCAGTTTAAAGACGTTAGCTACGTAAAAGTACCAAACTTACCCCCGAACAAATATGCATTCTCAGAAACTACAAAAAAAACTTAAAACTGTATAGGTTATTTTATATATCAATTTATATAATATATATTTTAAAAGAGAACATTAGAAATCTATAATTTAAAAATAAGTTCATGTATATTTCAAGCTATTAATTCTCTTCAAATTACAATTTATTACTAATTATGAAAGAAATTATTAGTCTTATATTTCTATCTTATTACGCTAATAGTTTTAGTGACTGTGTTGAAAGAAAAGAAAGGATTATATAATTTAAATAAATGTCACGTGCATATCCTGTTTTTTAATCAGCAAAATCTATAGACTCGCGAAGTAAAATCACAAAGATTCGCGTACAATTAATATCCTGCTCATTAACTGTAAATGTTCACTGTCCAAAATGGTGTTAGTTCTTACCGACATATGAGAAACTTCTCAGCTCAGACGTCCTCAGTGGGTTTGGTATAACCGGATTTAGATAGTCGTTTGTCTTGTAACGTATAACTGTACCTGGCAAAAGGAACACAAATTTGATAAAGAACATTTATCACAGGCGTAATGTGGATAGAAGTAAATTCTGTGTTTTTCCGAAAGACAGGAAAAAGTTTAATATCAAAATGTTGGCCGTACGAACTTTATTAGTTGCAAATAATACTAAAACTTTTAAATTACTTTCTTGAAGCTTTTGAAGTGACAGTTCTCTAAACCATATAAATTTATTGATTTTATATCTTTATAAAAATATATCAATCCATCACTCTGATGATGGAGGAAGTAATCACGTGTGAAACATCGGTCAATTTATACCCGATTACATAGTAAAACATCCCAGAGTATATTCATCGTTAGCATTCCAATTTTCTGAAACATTCCTTTCGACTAATTATGGCTGGCTTGTGACGTGTAGTCTGGTGGAAGTTTATCCACGTTTCAGAGGTCCTTATTGCCTCCATCATTAGGGCGATGATGGCTAATAATTGAGACAGTAAGAAACTGTGAAAAATATACATCTGCATACTCATCGCCTTGAGAACCTTAAATTTTACTTTGTTTCTTACAGTTATAACGAAACATTCATAATTTTTCTAACGAAATTGGCCAGTACGCTGCCATCACGTCTACTGTATTAGTGGGAGAATATATTTTCTTCTATAAGAAACGAGAATTAGACTGACAATGAAATTGAAAATATCACGAAACATGAATCTACTTTGTAGAATCCTTCTTACAGTAATAATTTTAAATGAAAAAGGGTAGCTAAGCATGTAGTATAAGTATGAATTAATAAAGGCCTATTATTATTATTATT